GAGCCTGCGGCTGCGCGTGTGTTGGCGCGTTTGGTTGCGAGTTTGGGGGCGGCCCGACATGTGTCTTTTGGTTGTGAGTGCGGTTGCGTGCGCGGTTGCGCCCGCGGGCAGCTTGAATTGTGTGTGTGTGTGCGTTGGGGTGTCCGTGCGTGCGTGTGTGCTTGTGTATGTGTCTGTGTTTGTGTCTGTGCCTTTGTTTGCGTGTGTGCATGCTTTTGTGGTTGTGTGTGTGCGTTTGTTGTCGTGTTTGTGTGTGCGTGTTTTTGTGCGTGTGTTGTTTGTGTGCTTGTGTGTGCTTATGTGTGTGTGTTGTGTGTGTGTGTGTGTTCGAGTGTTTGTGTCTGTGTTCGAGTGTTTGTGTGTGTGGCTGGTTGTGTGTATGCGTGTGGTTGGTTGTGTGTGCGCGTGTGTTTCTGATTGTGTGTGGTTGTTTGCGTGTGTTGTTGTGTGTGTTTGTGTGTGTGTGCTTGTATGTGTGCTGTGTGTAATGTGTTATGTGTTGTGTGGTGTGTGTTGAGTGTGTCTGTGCGTTCTGTGTGTGGCGTGTGTGTGTGATGTGTGTGTGTGTGTGTGTTGTGTGCTCTCTGTGTGCTGTGTGTTGTGTTGCGTTGTGTGTTGTGTATGTGCCTGAGCTACGCACGCGCTTGCCGCGTGCGGTCGCGCGTGCGGGCGCCCGCAGGGGGGCCGAGACGTGCTCCCCGGGTTGCGGGCGCGGCTGCGTGTCTGGCCACGGCTGCGGGCGGCCCGAGACGTGAACAACAGCTGCGAGTTGCGCTTGGGCGTGCGGTTGCGTGTGCGGTTGCGCCCGCGGGCGGCCCGAAACGTGTTCGGTTCTCTCAACCGTTGGGCCCCAGGGCCGCTTGCCAGGGGTGGTGGCGGTGCAGCGGCCTCTTCGAGGCGAGCGGCCCATTCAAGGCGAGCGGCCTCTTCGAGGCGAGGTCGGAGCAGGGCGGGTTCCCCAGCTGCGCATGCGGTGGCGCGCTCAGCTGCGCGTCTGTTTGCTCCCGTTGGTGGCCCGAGACTGGATCGGTGGCGGGCGCTGGCGGCCCGAGGTGCATCCCACGTCCGCAGGTGCGCGTGCACATGCGCCAGCGGGCGGCCTGAGATGTGTTCCTCGGCTGCGCGCGGGGGCGCCCGTGGGCAGCTCAAGATGTGCACCCCGCTCTCTCGCCCAGTGTCCGGCAGCCAGTCAGGCAGGCAACCAGACAGGCAGTCAGGCGGTCAGTTCCAGTACTGTCGGCCCGAGGTGTAAGATCGAGGTTGGTTCGGGGAGGGTGCCCTAATGTTATTTGTGTGTGTGTGTTGATGTTCTTGTGCATCCTGGGGACTGTACCCTCGGCGATCTTATGGTTTGGGCTGTTTTGGCCAGTGGAGGGTCTCATGCTCTTGATGGATGTTATTATGTCTTTCGTCCAGCTGTAAGTCCAGTCAGGCACCAGCGAGCGGCACTGACATTCTTTTGGTTCCGCCAGAAGCATTGGTGGGCGTGCATGCGAGTGGTGCCGAGCGCAGTCCACAGGCCGCAGGGCTGACATCCGACCCTTTCGACCAGGAGGATGCACGCATTTTCACTCATGAATATTGTTTCGACGAGGCCAAGGTTTGGCCAGTGGGCCCATCCTGTCAAGTGCGTCTGCTTCCGCTCATCCTTCTCTCCCGTCATCCCGTGTTCCCACTCTCGCTCCCCATAGGTTAATGGAAGCCCCCTTCAGTACTTGCCCAGGGGTCTCTCCGCTCCGTCGTGTTTCTCTCTCTTCGTCCGTATCAACTGGGGCTCAAGCACAGCCACTGTGCACCCTGACCCTACTCGTTACTGCAACACCTCCTTGCAGGTTGCTCATCCACAATCGGCTGCCACATGCGCACCTCCTGGCTGCTGCTCACCCTTGCCGGCGCAGGATGCAGAGAGGCCGCTGGGCTTAGCCAGCCAGCTGGCGGACAGGACGGCGTGCCTCGTGGCCCCTGGGCCGACGACGCCCTGCGGCAGGCCGGCTACTTCCGGGCCCCGCCCCGTGCCGAGCCCCGGCAGGGCGCGGCCGTGCCGCGCGCGGGCCGGCAGGCCGCGCGCCGCGACCGGCGCCTGCGCGCCCCGCCCGCGCAGGGCCCGTCGGTGCCGCGCCCGACGCCCTGGAGCCAGCAGGCGACACGTGGGGCGTTCCAGACATCAGAGGAGCGTGAGGTATCTCCTCCTCCTCCTCCTCCCGCCTCCTCCCTTCCTCCTCCTTCTCCTCCTCCTCTCCTCCTCCTCCCTCCTCCTCCTCGTCCTCCTCCTCCTGCTGCTGCTCCTCCTCCTCCTCCTCCTCCTCCTGGTATTGGTAGTTTTCAAGAGTTCCAGGTTTCCCTATCCTTCCGCGCGGGCTCCGGGGACGAATGGTCGAGAGCGCATGCCGTCGCGCAGGCTCTTCACGTGGTGTGCGCGGTGCACATTCGCGCATCGGAGCGCCCTTCCAGAATCCAAGCTGCATTCTGTTTTGCTTTTTGGGGGTCCGCCTTCGGGGGTCGAAGGAGCTGTTGTCTCGGAAGGCTGGCGGAAGCACAGCGAGGCCGCCTCCGCCGGCGGAAGCCAGCGGAAATTCGGCGGGAGGCTGCGGAAGTGAAAGGTGTGCCCCAAAGAGATGAAAACGATTTTGGGTTCAGGGTTTCCGAAATCGCCCATGCGTTGACAGCTGCAGCCGTCGTATTACCACAAGGACCACTGAAGATAAGGAACGCAGGGGCTTCTCCTCGCCACTGCGAGCCTCGTCAACGGAGAGGTTCCACGACCCCGCACTGCGGAACGGCCCGAAGCCCAGAGCCCCGCCTGCGCCCAGGGTGGCCCTTGTGCCAGCGTCTCGACAGCAGCGCCCATGCCTCTTGCGACCTTTCGATGTCTCGAGACTCGGGGAGGAAGTCCGTGGAGGCTACGGGTGTGTGCGTGTGTGTGCGTGTTGTCGGATGTGGGTCCCCCGCTCGAGCGGGAGCCCCCCTGGGTCCGACATGTCGCACCTCCTGCCTAGAGCGCCTTCATTGCCCTGCTCCACCCTGCTCATATTCCTCCTCCTCCTCCTCCTCCTCCTCCTCCTGCCTCCTCCTCCTCCTCCTCCTCCCTCCTCGTCCTCCTCCTCCTCCTCCTCCCGCCTCCTCCCTTCCTTCTCC